GTGTTGGAAAGGACCAGTGTAGGACTAGAGCCCTGGAAAAGAAGAAAGGGGCTGTGTGTTTTTTTTTAATCCTCACCTGAGGGTATTTCATTTTTTAATTCATTTTGAGAGAGAGAAATATCGATTGGTTGCCTTCCCTATGAACTGGGGATCGAACCCACATCCTAAGTATGTGCCCTAATTTAGAATTAAACCCGCTCCAATCAACTGAGCCACGCAGCCATGGCTTGCATACTTTTTTTTTTTTTTTTTTTTTTTGAAAAAAGCTTACGATTAAATGTCTTATTCTCCCCAAAACCGGTTTGGCTCAATGGTAGAGTGTCTGTCTGCGATTCATGTCAAGGGCATGTACCTTGGTTGCTGGCACATCCCCGGTAGGGGGTGTGCAAGAGGCAACTGGTCGATGTTTCTCTCTCATCGACGTTTCTAGCTCTCTATCTCTCTCCCTTCCTCTCTGTAAAAAAATCAATAAAATATATATTTTTTAAATGTCTTATTCTCCAAGGACTCTACTTAGTTTATACACTCTCACATTGATTATAACATGGTCAGAGGAGACACAGGCAATGACTACTTGTCAAGGGATTGTGAGCAAACTTAATTTCCTATCTTACATGGAATTTGCAACTATAAATGAACATTCTTTTTTTTTTATAACAAGCATCCTGATAGCTACACTTTTTCTCTAACAAACATACAAAATAAGACAAGCATTGCTGTTTCTAAGAGTTACATTCCAAAGAGAATTAACAGTAAGCCTAGAATTAAACTGGAAGTTCAGAGAGCATGCCTGCAAATAAACTGCTCAAGGTAATGATGACAAGTTACAGCAAGCAGAGAATTAATTTTTTAAAATTTCCCTCTTATATGAAGGAAAACCAGTATGAGTTTTGTAAAAGGAATGCATACTTACTATAAATTATTCAAGCACTCCTAGAGGTTAAAAAATTCAAAAGCCACTGCTCATAAATAATTAGCAGTTAAAGGGGTATCACTCTAGAATCTTTTCACGCTTGTGTTCCAGAAAGGCAAAGGAAATTGAAATATTTTGATAAATATGCGATTGTTTTATATATACTATTTGTAATGCTATTGCATTTCATTTTATTTGTATTTAAAACCTGAATCTAAAAGAATAGTAAAATTTCAAATAAATGTTTATTAGCCTCAAGAGATTTTGTTTTTAAAGATCCTTCTATAATTACAAAAATATTTTGGAGGAAAAAATAAACACATTGAGTTTATAGTGATTGTTTTTTACATCCCACATGTCAGTTTAGGTGTGATCATTTGACTCCCTGATGTGAATGATCAGGAGATTACATCCAGAACCTTCCTTTCCCCGCCCCCACATCTTCACATATTGTGATATTAATACTTAAAGGCGCATCGTATTTACATTTTAGTTTGTCAAATGTTTTCATTAATATTATTCCACTGTTAAATGTTTCCAAATCTTACCACAGCCTGTTTTGCTGGGGGGGGGGGGGGAACAAAAAAAAACAATGAGAGAGGAACTGCAGAAATGAGATGGAGGAGTTAATATAAAACTATGACTAACCCCTGAGGAGGCTAAAGCTGGAGTGAACTAATGACAAGGTAGGAGGAATTGAGGTGGGGGAGGCAGGTACAGAGTGGGAAGGTAGGGAAAGAGAGAGATTTTTTTTTAATAAGTCTTTATTGTTCATATTATTACAGATGTTCCTCTTTCCACCCCCCCTCCGTTGCTCCCCTCCACCAGGTTCCCACCCCACCCTCTGCCCTTTCCCCACCCATCATTGTCCTCATCCATAGGTGCAGTTTATGTTTAGTCTCTTCCCACATCCCCATCTCCCCTTTTCCCCTAGAATCGTCAGTTCACTCCCCTTCCATACCTCTGATTCTATTATATTAAACAGCTAATATTGTTCATCAGATTTTTTTTTTTTTTGAAAGAGAGAGATTTTAACTTCTATTCCTGCTTCTCTCCCGCAATATCCCAGGGAAGTTGACTGGTGGCCTCAGCCACTGGCAGAAAGAAATCAGTGGCAAAAGCTTGGCCGCTCAGGAATGCCAGCGCCATCTCAGAGCCATGCTGGGTTGAAATTCTGGTAAAAACAAATGCAGGCTGACTAGATGCCCAGGCACCCATTTCCTCCAATCCCTCATGGATAGCAGATGAGCACTTCAAGGACAGCCCATGATCTACTCATGAATGGTGGCGGACCATTCTAAAGATCTTATCTTCTTTAAGTGCTTCTTCCCCTTCTCTCCCTCCCCCCCCCCAAAAAAAAAAAGATTTAAAGAGATATCCCAGACTAGAGAGATTTCTCTGTAAAATGAAATCAAAAGAGATGTTGAATAGCAATTCTGGAGGACCCGAGGCTCTCCATCCTGGGGCTCATCCCCACCCTTTCTTCACAATCACCAGGAGGGACAAAACAGACCTTCATTGTAGCCCTTACACATTATCAGACTGATACACCACAAGGGAAAAGAGCTTACTAGCCAAAATCAGTAGAGATCTGATGTGCAAAACCACCATGAAATATATGCAATCAACTAAACACAATGCACAGATCAAGAGTGTAAAAATAAGTATAAAAGACATAACAAATATATTCAAAGATAAAAGAGAGAAAATTGCCGAGGCCGGTTTGGCTTAGTGGATAGAGCATTGGTCTGAGGACTGAGGGGTCCCAGGTTCAATTCCGGTCAAGGCATGTGCCTTGGTTGCGGGCGCATCCCCGGCGGGGTGTATGCAGGAGACAGCTGATCGATGATTCTCTCTCATCAATGTTTTTTGCTCTCTGTCCCTCTCTCTTCCTCTCTGTAAAAAATCAATAAAATATATTTTTTAAAAAGAGATAGAATATTGAATAAAATGAAGAAGGAACAAGAAGCAATAAAATAAAATAAAAAAGAACCCAGTGCCTCTTTCGACGGGAGAATAAATAATTCATTCAGAACACCAAGAAAAACTAGACACAGTTTTAAAATATATACTTGAGGGTATTGGAAAGAGAACACAGTAGTCAAGAAGGAGTGGACCTGGATCTTGGAGAAAATGGGAATCCAGAAAAGTGTACTGCACATTTGGACGACTTCTGCCCCGGGGGCACTTATTAATTCCGGACAAGTCAGCTGAGAGCTAAGCAGTGTTTTAGTCTGTCTCAAAGGTGTGGAGTAAGAAGTTATAGAGTCTAGGGCTCATGTTGGGATGAGGACCCAAATAGCTGTAGTACAGTAAGTTGGAGCTGCAAGTAGACCTGCTCTCTCAGGGATTTCAGACTTAAAAAATACCAGTTTGCTAGAATTTCTGAGAGCCCAGCACAAACACATGCAAGTCCATCTGAGAGGAGAAAGTCCTAGGTTTCGAATATGCAAATTAAAACTGCTGTGCGAAGTCACTACAGAATATCTAAAATTAAAAGACTTGCAATATTGCATGTGGGCAAGGATGTGAAACATCTCAATTCTCACATTCCACTGGTGCTTGTTATATTAAAAAAAAAAAAGATGTACAAGAATTCTCATAACAGCAATATCTTTAATAACCAAACATTGGAAAGAAGGGAAATGTTCCTCTACAATAGATGGATAAATAGACGGATATATTCACACCATGGAACACTATATAGCAGTGAAAATGAACAGCTCTTAAAAAAAAATGAGACCACCTGATGGTAGGACAGGAAGAAGGCCGTTTTGAAAAACTTCCCAGAATGCCTGGGAGAGCTTCCACTCTGGCGGCAGCTCCTTGCTCTCTGCCTTTAAGGTCCAGGTAGATATAGAGGCGCATGGGTGGCTGCAGCCCTGTCCTCTGGGGGCTCACTCTCCACACACCTAGTTGTTGGGGGAAGGAGTGGTGTTGTCAACCGGCAGCCCGGGGTCAAGGCACGCAGGGCACTGTCCTCGCGATGGCCATGCAGATAGCTAGGGCGTCATTGCTCTCTCTCTCCCATAGGGCAGCTGATTTGGGATAAAATGCGCCCATTCCTGGTGCCTCCTCTCTGGCGGGCCAGGTCTGCTGGGACACCTATGCCCAACAGAGGCGCCCAGAGGAGAGGTCGGGGCCTAGAGAAGGGGTGTGTGTGTGTGTGTGTGTGTGTGTGTGTGTGTGTGTGTGTGTCGCGGGGAGAGGAGGCAGAGACCACACGGGGTGACAGCAGCGCCCCAGCACACACAGCCCACCACACCCTTGCTCCCCGCCACCTCCTTCCCTTCCTGCCCTCCCAGGTGGCTGCGCTGCGCATCGGCGGCGGCGCGCGAGGGGGAGGAAGGGACTGGCATCAGGTTTAAAGACCAGAAGCAAATGTCCCCCGACAATTTCATGCCATTTTTTTCTGGATTCAAAGGAGGGATAGAGTGGTGCAGACAGACGCCGAGGGGCGACGAGAGACGGCCGGATTCTTGGCCTGCCGGAGGCCGGGCGAGGAGGTTCCCTCCCGCCCGGGTGCGGACTCCGGGTGGGCGGGCGGGCGGGCGGGCCGACGCCCCCAGCCCCCCAGCCCCCCAGCCCCCCAGCCCCCCAGCCCCGCAGCCCCGCAGCCCCGCATGACATCAGAGGCCGGGAGCGCGCAGAGCGCAGGCGCCGGCGGGGAGGGGGCGGGAGGGGAGCGAGCCGCGCGGCCGGGAGAGCGCCCCCCGCCCCGCGCTGTCCCCGCGCCCGCTCCGCCCGCGCCTCGCCGTCCGCTCCGCGCTCCGCGCCTCTCTCCCCGCAGCGAGCGCCGCCCGCGACAGCCCAGCCCAGCCCAGCCCAGCCTTCCTCCTCCTCCCGCCCCTCCTCCTCCTCCTCCTTCGCCGCCGCCGGACACGCAGCCGCAGGCCGGGGCCGGGGCGCAGCTGGGGAGGCAGGGACGCGCGCAGCCAGCCCTTCCCCCTCCGGCTCCCGCACCGCCGGCCGCCTCCCCGCGCCCTCCTCCTCCTCCTCCTCCTCTCCCCGCCCGGCTCCTTCCTTCGCTTCTCCTCCTCCTCCTGCTCCTCCTCCTCCTTCTCTCCCGGCCCCGGCTGCCAGCACCATGTCCGCAGGGGGAGATTTTGGGAACCCGCTGAGAAAATTCAAGTTGGTGTTCCTGGGGGAGCAGAGCGGTAAGTGCCCCGCGTAGTCGTCTCCCGGCGCCAGAGCACCCACCCCTGCGGGACCCGGGCCCCGGCTGGGAGAGGCCCCTCCGCGCCCCGGTGGAGAGAGGGGAGGGATGGACGGTGGAGGTCGGGGCGGCTCGGGCGGGGCCGGGCAGAGGAGGGGACCAAGGATAGAAAACGGTGAGGCCAGAGATCGGGGTCACGGTGGGATCTGAGGTGGGGGCTCGGGGTGCGGGTGCGGGTGCAGGTGCAGGTGCAGGTGCAGGTGCGGGGCAGCGGGGCGAGAGGCCGGAGGGCGGAGGCTCGTGCGGACGCCGGGCTCGCTGGCTCGCTGGCTGGCTCGCATTGCGGCAGCGGCTGCGGGCGACCGGCGCCCGGGCAGGTGGCGGGGCGCTGGCGGGGGTCGGGACGAGGACAGACGCCCCTCTTCGGGGAGAAAGAGGTGGGTCTGGCGTCTGCCCACCCCCGCGCAATGCACCGGAGGGGTTCCCTGCGGACCCTGCGCCCGCAGCCCTGCGCCCAGGCCCAGAGGCAAAGGGCGGGGGCAAAACGGACACCTGCTTCCTCTCCAAGGAGCGCCTCTGGGCCGTGGGGCGCCTACCTCTCCTAGTGTATGTCCCCTGGCTACTCCCCTGGACACAGAAGGTTCTAGACCCTTCTGCCCTTCCCCGGCATGCTTTAGCCTCTTTAGGGCCCAGAGGTCTGGGCGATGGATGGGTAGCAAGGATTTCCCAACGCGAAGCAGATTTGGGGGATGGTCCAGGGGTGCCCCTCACCCAGGGGCGGCGGTGAAGCCTGGCGCTGGACAGAGAAAGGAGCAGGCGACACGCCCTGCCCAGCTTCCCCGCACCCCTCCCCAGAGCGCCGGCAGCGGATCCTTCCCACCCCCACCTCCCAGCTCCCCGCCCTGCTTGGGGGAGGGGAGGTCACCGTGGCAGCCGGCCAGGGGCGGGGAGCGGGGGAGAGACCGGCTTCCCTGCCGACAGCAGCCTCCCTTGGGAAAAGCATCTTTGAAACCCAGGTGGGTCCCAAGGTGGGAAGGCCATCGAAGAGCAAGGGATTGAAGAGCAGGGACCTGCGAGACACCTGTAGGAAGGAGCGGTTCTCAGAACATCCCTCCCTCCGAAGGCCTCTCACCCTGGAGCTGCAGGCCCTGCCCAGCTCCTACCAGGGGAGAAGGCAGCCCCTGGGGGCAGGACTCCCCGCTCTAGCTCTGCAGACCAGTCCAGTTCACTGGGTTTGGCGTCTTTCTGTGCCAAGGGCCAAGAGGCAGGCAACCTTGGGAGAACCCGATGGGCTCAGGGAACCCTGTCCCTGTGGTGTGTGTCCATGTGAGTGGTGGGGGTCCCATGGCCATCTCCTGTCTGCAGCCCCTTACCTGGGGTGGATGGGAAATGAGGAAGGTATCAGAGGGCATTTCAGAGCAAGGTGAACTCTGCCAGCCAGCCAGCCCCGTGGCCTGGACTCGGAGTTTCTGATCTTAATAGATTCCCAGTTTCAGAGCTCACTGTTCCCCAGGCCTGGAGGGATTTCGGGGTCTCCCCACCCTAAGGCTAGCCTCACTGGGAAGAGAACTCTGCAGGGAATCCCTCTCTTCAGCTCCCAGAGCAGATTTTGAGGCGTTGCTGAGCCTCCATTTCTGTTTCTGTGGAATGGTTCCTGGAGGGCAATCCTCTTACTCCTGCATGTTTCCTTCAAAGGGCCAGGACCTTGGAGGTTCTCAATAAACATTCGTTTATTCCAAGTCTGAACATGTCTTAGGAAAGGGTCGGGGCTTGCTGAGGACACTGGTGAGTTTGAGTGAAAACTCAGGGCTCCCTCAGCATCCCTGATGGGCTGAGGCCCCTGCTGAGCCCTGCAGATCCCCCTTTTGCTGCTGAAATCACAGAAATTAGAGCTGCACCTCAGAGATGGAGCCCCCACCTCCCTGGCATGTGAGGTGGGCTGTCTGGGCTCCAGGGATGGGGAGGGCTTACCCAGAATCCCGTTGTGAGTTATTACCACTTCTGCTCTCAGTCACTACCATGTCATTGGGGAAAGAAGATGACCTTGAGTTGAGGAAGTCCGGAATTGGGGAGTCTTCCTAAGGGAAGGTGAGGGTTGCCCCGGTCTGATCAGGCTTGGGGCTGGGTTGGGTGGGAATGCAGGGCTAGTTGATGGGGGGCAGGGTTTGTGGGTCCTTGGAACACGGTCATTATGGACGTTAGTCTCTGCTCTCAGCGGGATTGGCTATTGGCCACTCTGGCCCTCCTAGCAAGGAGTCCTGGGCTCTGAAAAGCTTTCTCCCACTTGGGTGGGTCATGAGTGGGTTACTGCAGATTTTACAGAGCTTTCAGGTCCCTGAGTTGGGCAGGGGAATGTGTATCTCTGAGTGGGTGGGACTGGGGAGTTGCCCCTACAGCCACTGCCGCCATCTCACCTGCACCCAGTTTTGCCTGTGTTGGTCCTTTGTGCCAGCATCCCGTGGAGCCTCTGCAGTGGAGGGAGACCCTGAGCTCTACCCCTCACTCCTCGCCCCCACTCCCACCATCCTCAGCTCTCCCTTTTGCCCTGTGTAACCTCTGAGGTTCCCTCACCTAAGCCAAGACTTAGTCACCTCCGGGGCTTGCCTGTATGAGCTGAGTCCCCTGGGAAGGGGCCAGGGGAGGGATCTGGAGAGATGTGGTCGCTGGCTTCCTGTGCCTGGCAAGTGCGTGAGGACAGCTGGATTCCAACGAGGAATGTCCAGCCTGGGGCCCGGTAATGAGGACAAGAGTCAATCTTCCAAAGATGCCAGGGACCTGGTTTGAGTGGGTAACCCTTGAAGAGCCACTCATGAGAGAACACCCCCAGCCTGTGAGAGAGCCCATGTTCCCGGCAACAGAATGACCTCTGTTATTCACTAGACCATGGAATACAGGCTGGCAGTGGGGAGGATTGTGGGGAGGGTGCTGTGGACCCAGGAGAAGGGGTGTCCTTGCACTAGGAAGACTGCCATTCTGCTGGGACTTAGATGGCTCTCTGGGCCTGCTGGCAATGCCCCGGCCGATGGCAGTGGTGGGAGACAGCCGGGAGATGCACACCAGTCCAGACGGGGGCACTTGGTGGCAGCCGAAAAGACAGGCACAGGCAGGTGTCTGAGCAAGGAGAGTGGGTCTGGGGACACATGTTCCTCCTGAGTTCTGATGGCATTCTAAGGGGGCTGAGGTTCATTGCGGTGTATAGCGAGGAGGGGGTGTGTGAATGTATCTCATGGGCTGTGGCCTCTTCTGAGCTTCCTTCCCTGACCCTCCTCCAGCAGCAGGAAGATTGATAGACACAGCAAGTTCCAGCCACTCACCCAGGCTGAGGCTGGCCGGCCAGCTCCTCCCTCTGGCCAGCCACCTCCCACTCTGCCCCTGCCAGTTGTGCTGCTACCGGTGCCATCCACGTTGAGCACCGCCTGGGTGGTGTCCCTAGAGTTGTGCCGCCCTGTAACCCTGTGCGCAGCTGCCACCTGGCCCTTACGGCATTTGTTCATTCCCCCCTCTCTCCCTTCCCTGCCTCCCTCTTTCGCCCTTCCTCCTCCCATCACCCATTTGTTTATTTAATCACATCTTTGAGCATCTCCCCGCCTCATGGAACTGATGGTCCACTAGGGAGTGCAGACAGTTGTGGGTGTAATTACCGTAAAGGCCTGTGGGCGCCACCACAGCTGCTCTGGAAGCATAAAGAGGAGATGCTTCTACAGGCTGATGCTCCTTCAGGCCAAGTGCAGGGAGTAGTCCTCCAAGGGTCCCCTTTCCCCTCTTCCCTGCTGGGGAGAGAAAGTAGTGGGGGAGATTGGGGAGCAGGAGGACAAGGGCGACCCTCAAGTGTCTGGCTTGTTAGTACCTGGAAGGGCCTTTTCCTCCACTTCGGTCCCAGTCCTCCAGGGTACTGTATTTTCTGGCGTATAAGACGACTTTTGAACCAAAAAAAAAAGCCTGCTCAGATTGGCCAGAGTCAGAGAGGTGGTCTATTAAAAAAAGAACTGGTGTTGCCTCGGAAGTGGGGGGTAGTCTTATACAGCGACTATAGGCCTAAACCTATGTTTTAACTGTAAAATTAGGGGGGTCGTCTTATACGCCGGAAAATATGCCTTCCTTGGGCCCCCCCCTCCCCACTGTCCGGAGGGCCCGCCCTCCCCAGCTTAGCCTGAACCCTGCCCTCCTACCACTCACACCACCCACAACCACCCTTTGCTGGCCTGGTGGTTATGCCTGAAACCCATACCAGAAGTTCTCGCTCCCCACTGACTCCCAGACTGGCTGGCTCCCCTGGGCACTCACCGTGTTTGTTTTTTTCCTGAGGAATTTAAAAACAAAACAATCACACGCTGCTCTGTAACTTCTCTGTTATTTCAGTTACTTGGGATTAAAAAAAAAAGTTTCTTTTTTTCCTAAGTATAAAAACCCTAACTGAATTTGAAGCCCCTTGAAGGGCAAAGTTCAGAAGGTTAAGGGGACGAGGGTTTAGTTGTTAGTTCCCCTCCCCATCTTCGGCAGGTTAATGATCTCAGTTCGGAAATGATGAGGTGAACCTGCTGTGTGAGATTTGCTGCTGGCCCATCCACAGGTTAATAGTGAAGGGAGTCGCCTGGCTGGTGTGGCGTAGTGGTAGGGCATTGACCCATGAACCAGGAGGTCATGATTCCAGGACAGGGCACATGTCTGATGTTTGTTCCTCATGAGGGGGCATGCAGGAGGCAGCCAAACAGTGATTCTCATCGTTGATGTTTCTATCTCTCCCTTTCCCTTCGTCTCTTTGAAATCAATTTTTAAAAACACACACACAAAACATTTTTAAAAATAAAATAAAAGGAAAGGGAGTCAAGGCGGCTTTAAAACAGGCTTCTTCATCCTGACACCTGCTGCTTTCACAAGCCGGAAGATTCTTACCAGTGACACTTAAGAATCTTTCACAGACAATTAGATTGTTTATCTTGGTCGTGCCTGGCTCACACAGTTCATCTCATTATCAGGGCGCCACCTTCCCCACCACCATCT